GCCATTCTGTCACAGAAACACCACGAACTTCCATGTTTTTCATTAGGATCACTTGCATCCTCCAGTAAGCTGAATGACAATTGCTGATTGAATTCAACCTTTTGGTTCAGCCATGTTGGAGTGTTTAGGGAAGCTGACCAAAAATTCCAGAGTAACTTTGGAGGAGCTGCAAAGATCCAAAGTTTGGATGGGAAGATCTGTTTAAAGACAAATGTCCTGATTGCCTAGACTTCAAGTTTGGGTTAATCTGAGTTCTCATGTTTTGGGTTATTCCTGTCTTATTGACGTTAAACACTTTTTTCTTAATCATTCCATATTAATTATGACTGATTTACTTTTTTTACCTGTACTGCTCTAATTACCCTGGATTATTTGTCCATTTTCTTTTGCTTATTAGCAGTGTTGGTTGTAAACCAAATTTGCTGGGGGGTGGGGGGTATCAATATTTTTTCATGTGTACAAAGAACAAAAGCATGAAACAAAAAAACAGGGCATTAGATGCTCTGGTTTATAAGCCATGATTTACATATCTTTAGAGATAGGAGACCGGTTGATATTTGAAATCAATGTTACCCCCAATCTTTGCCTCTTTAAAGGTCTAAAAATCAGCCTCTAACAAAGCTACTGTACAAACTTTTCATCTATATTCAAGAACATTGGCTATTGCAGTTTTATTGTTTTACAGGTATCATCTATTTTAAAATATAAAATCAGTTTGAAACATAAAAGTTTTTTTTTTCCTAATCCTATAGTAACTGTTAAAAAGAAAATATCAGTGAGATTTGGAATTTGGCAAAACAGGCTTTGTAATGATCGGTAATCGGTCTGAAAACTGCAGTCGGCGAACTGAATGTAAACTTGCAACATGATTGTAAAATCATTGCTGAAATAAAGGTGTGATGATAAAAAGAAAAAAAAAATCAATGGACCTAATCATGTCCAAGTGTATAGTATATTCGTAAGAAATGAATGTATTATTAGGTCTTTATTAGAGGGGCCAGGGCCAGTTTTATGGAGGCACCAGTCTAGAATCACCCATGCTAATTAGTCTTGCTTCCCTGAAAAACCTCTTTAGTTCCTTGTCATGGACCATTGGTTCCCAACCCTGTCTTAGGTGTTTCCTTGCATGATTATGTGATGAAAGGCGTCCTGAGGAGGTTAAATAATCATGAAAATAAAGTTTGCTGGAACAGAACCACTCCCAGAACATGCAGAGCAGGGGGGTTTCAGGATCAGGGTCAACTGGACTATAACTTCCCAGTTTTTACAAGCCACTAACGATCTCCTTATCTTTTGGCATGGCTTTCCAGGAGCAAATCGGGTCTCAGATTGTGCTCCTCACCAACTTTTCCTTCATGTCTTCTTTGAAGGCTCTAAGTTAAAATCTTTGACATAATGTCATGATCTTATCTGTGTTTCTGTCCTCCACAAGCACAATATGCTGTTTAACAATAACATAGATATACACTCTAATGGTACCCTTTATAGTAGAGTAATATAAAGGAACATTTCATAGAATAAAGTCCCATATATTGCTTTCCTCAAACCATCTAAACATGTAAACAGGCAAGATGGCCTTTTCATTAAATTTAGGTCCTAGCTGGACCCTATAACTTAGACTGCTCACCAACTTAAACACACTGTTTTTTCCACAAAATACCAAAAAAGTAAAAATAATAATAATAATAATAATAATAATAATAATAATAATAATAATACAATCCACTCTACTTTATTTCCAAGTTTGATGACATTTCGCTTCCCATCCAGGAAGCTTTTTCAAATCAAATTGAAATTTGGTGTTGCACGTGACCTGCTGGGGGATTCTTGAGGCACATTAGGGAAGTTATGGTTATAGGTAAAGGTTTGATGAGGTACATTCAACAGGACCATCTTGAAAACCTTTTAGACAATGTAAAGATTTGAGGTTACAACAGAAGTTCAGCTCAAGAGGAAGGGTTTAAATCACTGTGTATTTCAGAATCACAATCTGCTTTATTGGCTGAGTTTCTGCACTGAAACAAGGAATTTCAATTTGGTTCCACAAACTCAGCGAGCAGACATTGGAAATAAAAAAATTAAAAGTGGAGAAAGACATAAATAACAAGAAATATGTAGATATATTTGTATGTAATGCAGACCTCTTTGTTATAAAAAAAGAGTTCTATTTCACAGTGAAGTGGCATTATAATCTGGTTGTTTATTGTTATGATCAGAGTTACAGCCAGGGGAAGAAACTCTTTGTGGAAATACTGTTCTACAGACTTGATTTTCCTATTGCATTGGAAGTTGTGAAAAAATGTAAAAACTGATGTTCACCGATGTTATCTATCCATTTTCACAAAAGCTCAGCAATTTTATGGCTTTGAATAACCAAAATGTTCAGTGTTTTAAAGTGTAAAGGTGCAGAGGACATACCCCAATAGCTTGGCAGCTATAAATGCAGCAAGATATTGTTCTACAAAGTATTTACTCAAATAACAGCAACATCTTTAGGATTTTTATTTCTAAGAGAAAAATTAGTAGACAAAACAATTTCCCCTTACAGTCATGCACTTTATTGTGTTGCTCTATCACATAAAGCCCATTGAAATGCATAGAGAGTTAGGATAGTTGCAATGTGAAAAAATGTGGAAGAGTTTAAAAGATGTGATTCTAGTGCAAGACACTACATGCTCTTAGCCTAGTAGGTAAGAAGCATCCAAACATCACTCAACAGCTTTCCTAA